ATGCTGACGGCCCGGGTACGCGCCAGTCGTTGAAAGCCGGTCTTTTTTGGACTCCCAGATCCCAATTTATTTCTAGCGCCCTTCTACTATACTTCAAGAACCGAAATGTGTTTGCTGTGCTTTGTTGTTTTTCTCTGGGAGGGACTGGACCCAACCTACTTTGTCCGCCTTCCTGCTTCATGCTTTGACCTACTTCCTTCCAACCGACGTGTAAGCCGCGGCGCAAGGTCGCTAATTATGTCTTCTCGCATCAGGCTCGTTTCTTTCCGTCGCTCTGTTGAGTCCCACGCTTCCAACGTATGGTGTTTCTCAGGAGGGGGAAAAAAACACAGACACTATTAATCGTCACTCCCAAGAGAATATGCGAAAATATGGGCAGTGGGGGGGGGGAAGGCGAACATCCAGAATATATGGGAAAATATAAGGGAATCCTGGGATTTGTGTGTACTTAGTTGTGTGTCCCTGGGCCCCTTGAAATTGAGCCCCGCGCTTCCGACGTGTGGTGTTTTTTGTTTTCCCCGGCGGGCCCCAGAGGGGCCTCGAGCCCCCCCCGAGCGGGGGACCCAGGACAGCCTACGGTTAGGTCGGGCATGCCCCCCCTGCACGCAGATATTGGACGAAAAATAGAAAATGGCTCCTCCTCCTCCTCCTCCTCCTCCTCCTCCTCCTCCTCCTCCTCCTCCTCCACCCTCCTCCTCCTCCTCCTCCTCCCTCCTCCTCCTCCTCCTCCTCCTCCTCCTCCTCCTCCCTCCTCCTCGCTCCTGTTCCCCTCCTCCTCCTCCTTTGTTCCCCCGCCTGCCAGGGCCAGCGTGCCGCCCCGGAGCCCTTTTCCCTGCTGGCCGCCATGGGGCCCGAGGACGGCCCCCGGGAGGCCGCAGCCGAGGTGAGCTTCGGGCGCTGCGTGATCGAAGGGGCCCCGGGTCACATCAATAAACAGACATCGGGAGCCTCGAGGCGGGGGTCAGTGCAAACGGGGGTCAGCCAGGGCGCCGGATCCTGCAGGATCCTGCGAAGGCCCCCTCTGGCTGACCCGGGTTAGGGAGCCGCTCGTGGCCGCAAGGCGGCCGCGCGTATTGGCTGACCCGGGTTTGCGAGGACCTGCATTTCAGTTTTTTTTCCTGCATTGCAGTTTTTGGTTTCCTGCTGACCCGGGTCTGGATTAACCCGGGTCAGAGGATCCCCGAAGACACAGATCCCATCTGGACGCCCGAAATGGGTACGGAAAGAATGGGTACAATGCCGAAGGGGCCCAGGGACACATCAACTCGCCGGCCCAACGGGCCAGGGGCGTGCTGAGATCTCCAGTAATTACGTATAACAATATTTCTAGTTCGCGCGCGCGGGGCGGCCCCTGGGGGGCCCCGGGCGAAAAGTACCCTGGCCAGGTCCCGGGACTCTCCCGGCAAACTCAGGTCAGAGATGGTTTTCCTCCTGGGTGCGGCCTTCCACGCTCCCTGGAGCGCTCCAAGAGGGCCCCAACAAGAATCCAAGACGGTCCAAGAGGGACACATCAATAAACAGACACAGACCCCATCTGGACGCCCGAAATGGGTACGGAAAGAATGGTTACAATGCCCAACATCAGTTCCTGTTCATTTTGAACAGGATTCGCTGTCCACGCCCCCGCGGCCTGTGTCCATTCGAGACAGAAGGCCGTCTCCCCAACAGCAGCCGCTGTTGGTTTGGGACAACAGTTGTTGTTGGGCATTGTACCCATTTTTTCCGTACCCATTCCGGGCGTCCAAATCCCAGAATTCCCCATGTATTTTCCCCATATTTGCTGGCTTCTTTGCGTCTTCCCCCCCCCCACTTCCCACATTTTCCCACCTCTTCTGGGGAGTCGACGATGAATTGTTTCTGTGTGTTTTCGTTCCCCTCCTGAGTGATGAACGGCAGGGTGAAGACAGGTGCACCTGTCATACAGTCACTCCGCACAGTAGGGATGGGAAATGTTTCGAAGGGTACCCTTTCATCCTTGCCTCCTCGGTTCATCCTTGGCCGCTTTCGCTGGCCGCGCCCCGTTCGAAAAGCTTTGAGATGGCCTTCCAAGGCCCGTGCATCCGTATTCTGCATCCTTATGATACGGGTCGACCGTATACCCCAAAGGGGCCCGAAAGGGACCCCCATTGAACGCCCCCCCACTACGCAACGCCCGAGAAATGCGACCTTGAACTGAACACGCCAACCAGCCCCCGAAGTCCCGGCGCCAGGGCAAACACTGGCGGTGGAGCGCTGCGCGGTGGGCCCGAGGGCAGCAGCAGCGGGAGCGCTCCCGCTGCGGGCCCCGAGGTACCTGAGGCGGAGGTCGCTCCCGGCAGCGCACGTCTCGCAGCTGCAGGCCCCGGCGCGCGGGCCGTGTGTCAGAGCGTGAATGACCTACCCCGCTTTCGCTTCCAGGCAAAACCAAGTCATGCCACGCGCCTCCCCGTCGAGTGGCCTGACCAGAGCGTGCCGTAGTTTGGCATCGCTTGGTAGCTCTTGGAAGCGACGGTGGTCAAAAGCGAGGTAGGTTCGTTTGCCCCCTAGTGTGGGTCGGCGGCGAGCCCTGGGGGGCAGTGTCAGAGGAGGAGGAGGTATAATACCTCAGGGGCGGCAAAGAGGGGGGTGATGGCTAGGGGGGGGATATCATGGCGTGGGCCATGATCTTTCCCCAGATGTCATGGCGCCTCTTCTTACTTCATTACGTCCCTGGCCCCCCCCTTGGGCCGCGCACATGCCGCCGGCCATGATTTGCACCCCCCCTCTTGGACGCCCCCCTCTTGGCCGCCCCCGAATACCCATAGTCCTTCCCTCGTTTCCCCCTTTTCGGGCCTCCTAGGAGGACCTCGTCGCCACGGCTGGATTCGCCTCATGATTCTTGTCGGAACGCACCCTGGGAGAGGCCTGCGGAGTAGCAGTGCCGGTGCGTTTTGGTTGCGCTCGGAAGGCCTCCGGCCTCCTGAGAAGCAAGCTTTCTGAGCCCTCTCCGAAGACAGATGCGGCTTCTCGGGAGGCCCGAGGGCCTTTGGGAAGCTACGCCGCCTTCGGAGAAGATCCGCCTCGTCTGGCTTGCCCCCGGGCTCGCCGCCGAGGGGGGGACCCATGGGGGGGTCGCGTGCGTGACAGAGGCGCGCAGACGGCCCTCGTCGTCGTCGTCGTCGTCGTCGTCGTCGTCGTCGTCGTCGTCGTCGTCGTCATCGTCGCAGGGAGGGGGGGAGGGAGGGGGGCGGGGAGGAGTAGGAGAAGGGGGGAGAGAGGGGAAGGGATGGAGGGAGGGGGGTGGGAAGGAGGGAGGGGGAAGGAGCAGGGAAGGAGGGGGGAGGGAGCGGGAGTACGGAGCAAGGGGTGCAGGGGCGGGTGGGAATAAGAGGAACAGGCAGACTCACAGCACAAGAGAGCCCGGAGGGGGAGGGACGAGAAAGAGAGCAAAGATGCACGGCCGCTGGCAAGCACCGCGCGTCTTGGCAGATGTGGCAAAGGCGTCATCCACAACCCCAGCTAAGCGTGAAAACTTGGTGGATTCTGGCATGTCGCACTTGATTTTCGACGTGGAATCTGGCACTTTCTTACAAGTGGAAATTTGGTTTTGGCGGGCGGTCGATGCCTTGCTGGCGCTCTCGCCCTGGCGGGTCGCGTAACGTAGCTTCAGGCCTGAAGCGTCGGGGCCAGGCGTCGCTTACCGCGCCCCGCGCGATTCGCGCGCCGCGCGCGCGGCGATCTTGGATGACCCCTTCCAAGGCCCCGAATGCTGCCGGCACGTGCCCTCATTCTTGTCATTGCCATCGTCGGCATGATCGCCACGTCGGCGCTCGTGGTCATCGCTGTTGTCTTCGCCATTGCCCCCCTCCGTCGGATGCTATCGCGCGATTGGGTCAACGTCCAGCGCGCGGCCCAATGCCGCGCGCGACCTGCAGTGAACGTTGGTTGGTTCTTTCGCCAGGATGCAACAAAACAGCGGCACAATAAACAACTACCGCGTTCGAGAGCCGCCATGGCGAGAAACATTGCGTCGCGCAGACCCCCGCCGACGTGACTGGAAAACCGTGGGCTGTGCCGCCGTGGAGCCCCATGATTCGAAACAGTGTAAACACACATTACCACCATCAAGAGCACATGCCACGATCTTGTCCACTCGGGGATTGCGCGCCTCCAGGGGCATCAACGCGCAGAAGGCACCTTGGGGTAAAAAAAGTTAAAGGCCAGATGCAGGAGGCATTAGGGGGCTGCGGGTGGCATTTCTTGTTACGTTGAGCAATAAGGTGTTGCTGTTTATGTTGTGGTTTCAATTGTTATTGGTTTTGTTACTCTTTGCTGAGTCTCCCATATGTTCAGAGTGTGTTTGTTTTGCGTTGGCAAACTCGGTCTCCGCCCTTTGCTCCAGGTCCCTGTGCGGGATATTGTTATCATGTGTAGCATGTCAATTCTGTGTCGCTCAGAGTGGGGCCCTCTCCAGTCCCGTCGTTTTGCGCTACACCTATTCGTTTTACTTCGACCCGCCTTTTCGGGGGGGAGCAGTATTAAAACGCCTGCGTCGCATAGCCGAGGCAGTCGCACATCCACGGTGCACGCGCGCTCTCTGGAATCGCAGCCAAAATCTTATCATCGCGGCTTGGATGCCCCTCCAGGGGGGCGCGGTGGATCCGTGGACGGCTGCAGAGAGTGGGGGGGGGGGGGGCGTAGCGCAAGAAGACGGCGGGGCCCGTGGGGCCGTCACCCATCTAGCATTCACAGTCGAAGTTGTTTGTCAAAGCAAGGTGGTCGGGTAGTTCCTCAATCTACGCGCCCTCCCAGCCCCCGAAAACAACGCTCCCATATATAGCCAGTCGGTGCCACAGTGGGCGGCTGAAATGCGGGCTGCGTTGCCCCCCCCCCCGACGTGGCGAGCGCGAGTTTGCGATCCAGGGTGTTTTATTAGTATCGTCCTGTCCCGGGGGTGTTTACATTCAGGATGTTTGGCACTGTGTGCTCAGACCTGCTGGCGTATGAATCGTAAATTTGCCATTGCTTATCTCACGCTCCGCAGCCACTTCGGTTCAAATGTCAGTCCAGAGCAGAATCGACAAGTTTGCAAAGTGCTCAAAGTCCTTAACCGACCCCGAGAAGAGAGAAGCCGACAAATTGTGTGAGGTGGGCAAGGCGGCTTTGAAGCACTGTGCGTCGCGATGCGTCGCGAGTGCTGCTGGCGGCCCCGTGCTCCAGGCGTGCCAGGCAGACGGGACGCCGATTTCAGTGTCGCAGTCGGTGAGTGCGTCCTTGCCCGCTGGGAGAAAGTTTAGGCGCTCTGGCAAGGCCACGTTCGAGTTTTTGACGTCGTGCCAATTCACTCGCACACTTGACGCTGCAGGGCGCGCGCGCACGAATCTGTGCTCAGAGGATCCGCGCCCGCTCACAGAGGGGAAGACTGTACCTCGCATGTTCGAGGCGTGCAGGGGCTACTGGCGTACCTGCCGGCAGCATGGGCACAAAGGGCCTTGCGTGCAAGCGTATTGTTTTGACCGGTGCGGTTTCGAGGCTTTCTCAAGAATGCTATCTGCTTGGCACTCTTTGGTTAGCAGTTCGTTCGGAAGCACGGTTGAAGAGCAGGAGTTGTTGACTCTCACTGAGTGGGTAGAGGCGACGGCATGCGCGTGCCACGACGCCATGAATGCATTCAAATGGTCGCTCCCTCACCGTTTTCATGATTCCGACCTTTTAAAGAATGTATATTTGTCCGTTGCTGCGATTCGCCAGTCTTTTGACGCCGTCACCCGCTATATGCACGCATGGGTGTTCCAGGCGTTCCGGCTGGCTGATGATTGGAGCGACTGCGAGGCCACGTCGTGGAGAGCTCTCTGGTCAAGCCTGTGCCTCGAGGAGGACACCGTGGATGTGCTCATAGGGCTCCAGCTGCGTTTTGAAAATGGGGTTCTTTGGGTCGGCCGCAGCGCGGCGTCCGATGGCATCGTGGCAGACAAGATAGCCAACGTGCTCCTGCGCGTTTGGAAGTTCAAGAAATACACAGACTCACGCTGGTTGTCGCTTGGCCGTGCGTCGCAGCGCCTGGCAGCTGCTCAACTGTTGGGCCTGAGTGCCATGCTGGCTTTTGCGTTGGATCAGCCGCATGTGTCCGGCTTCTTTCTGAACCAGTTTTGGCGTCGGAGCAGGACGGTTGCTGGGAGTTCGTCGCCGAGGCCGCTCTGGTATCCCAAGTGCCGGATGCGGTATTGGCCATGATAATGAAAGACAACAGGGTTGCCCGAACGGCCCCTGCACTTAGAAGCGCACTGGCTGACAATATGGAGTGGATACGGAGCTTGCCAACCTTTGTGTATAAAAAGCTCGGCGCTCTGTCTGGGGTCAGTTGGCGCGCATTGCAGTCGACGTGTGTGCGGGCTGCCCATAAGGCCGTGGCGTTCTTCAATTTCCGCGTGCTGAGCGTGGCCGAAAGCTTGCCCTGGACATTGGTGCGCGGTGACGTCGGAGCCAACCTGTCGGCCCTTAAGGCCGGCCCGAGGCCTAGCAACCGAACAGCTGGAAAGGTTTGGGATTTGTTGCAGCTCGGTGCTGTCCCGCTGCCTGTTCTGCAGCGCACGGTCGAGCTCCTCGGGGATGCCCCGTGGTCCACGGTTGTTGTAGAGCAGATGCATGGGTCAATTGCCGCATTGTCGCGCTTCCACCCCGAATATGAATTGGTGACGTTGCTGTCCAGGACAATGTGTTTGTTCCTCCACAAGCTGACGCCGAAACCCTCTGTGGAGGAGAAGCACGCGCAGAAACTCGAGACCAAGCTGGGCCGACTCGACCGGAAGCAGCCCGGAAATGTTTCGGGGAAGCATGCGTTCGTAAGCGGCATCATGGCCACCCTCGCTAAGAAGAGCGTGGGCGAGAGCAAAGTGGCCCGCAGCAGAAAACGCAATGAAGTCATCAAAAAGATCGGCAAGAAATGGCGTTCGAAGCCAAGGCGCTTCAAGCGCATATTCAAGAGGATCGCTTCTGTGAGGGCTTCCGTCAAAATACAAGGGCAAGCGGAGATCCGAGCTGAGCTGGTTGGCCAGCTTGCCGCGGCTCGGGCAAAGCTGAGCAGGGTTTCTGACCGGCCGCCTCTCTCCTTCCAGTCGGCGTATTTGACGGAGGAGGACTTCTCCCTGCTGGATGCCGAGTGGGACGCGGCTGGCTACAGTCGCTCGGCAGTGGCATCTTCTCGACGTCTCCGTTGCGAGGCGCCGCCGATGATGTCCGACGTCCTGGCTGGCGCCTTGAGGGATGCGGAAGAGGTGGAGGAACGGGCGGCCCTGCCGGCATGGGCGGCGGACGTGGCCGCGCGGCGCTCGAGCTTCGAGGGCGTGGCTTTCGTCGTCCGCGGCGGCGCCGGTGACATCGGGGTTGGCGTATTCATGTTTGCGATGCAACAGCCGGTGGTGGCATCTTTCTGCGAGGCCGTCCACGAGCAGACTGCCATGCCGATTCTGCCGGATGGCCCCGAAGCAGAGCAGACCTTCCGAGCATGGGGCCGCCACCGTTTCAAAGTGGACTGGACCCGTACTTTTGAGGCCGAGCGTTTTGTCGATGTTCGTGCCAGTGATGTGGACGTGTACACGGGCTTGGAGTACTCCGAAGATTGCGTCTTCGTGAGCGCGGCTAAGTTCGCCGTCCCGCTCGACATTTTCATATCCCGATGTAGCGTGGACGCCCCGGCCGCGGCGGGCCGGGGGAGCGGGGCAGGGGCGTCGGCTCACAGGAAGCCGAAGGGGCCCGCGGCGTCCCAGGACAGGGATTCTCGCGAGAAGCTCATGGGATGCACCAGGAGCGCCAAGCTCAGGCTCGCGTCTTCGTCGTCCTCTAGCGGCGATTCGGACCTGGAGGAACTCGACATGGACGTGGCGGACGCTGAAGCGATGTGGAAGGAACTCCAGGGCGCCCGTGCAGCCCTCGATCAAACTGAAGACAGCCGTTTTGACGATTTCCGAGTCGTCTTGCGTGGTAATATCAAAGGCGAGGTGTCGAAGAAGGGTTCCGCTCAGAGTTGCCACACGGGAACGGCGATTGGCCAGGACGTCGTGCAGTGGTGCCGGGATCGACGTACCCCGTTCTCTGGCAGGTACGGCGTGGATAAATTTGAAGCGGGAAACTCGTTCTTCATGGCATCTGCGTGGTGCCACCGCATGCAGTATTTTTATAATCTCGCCCACAGGCACGGTGACCCCCTCCGGCGTTTCACCGCGGAGGAGGTGGCAGGTTATCGTGCCCAGGCGGTGTATTTGGAAGCGCGGGAGGCCATCTGTAGGAGGCCTGGCTGCGCAGAGCGTGTTAGAGAGCTTGATCGCTTGTTTTGCTGATGGACTGGATCGTGTGCGCGCCGCTCTGAGCGTGCCCGCGCAGATATGGTCCGATCATGCGTCGTAGATCTTCTCCTGCTCTATGCTTTGTGCTCTCCCGCCTCCGTTCTGAATTGTGGACGATTCGGGCACCCCCAATTGCCCATCCAAAAACAGTGACGAAGTTAGTTTTTTCACATGTCAGGCCCCGCAGGCCTGGGTGCAAGTGTATTGTTAGCCATCGGTGGGTCCGAGCCCTGTCCTGCGAACGTGGCCGAAACCCCGCCGCAGCTAGGTGGCCGGAGACCTCTGTCAGGGCTCGCGGTGCGAAGATGACCGCGTTTCGCCCTCGGGGCCCGCGTCGCGAGGATGACCGCGCTTCGCCTTCTGGGCCACGGATTTGTTGGCGCGTCCGCTGGTCGCAGAGGGGGGGAAAAGTAACGAATTTCCCCCCTGAACGAGAAACCTCCGCGCAAGCGGAGGGACTTCAGATAATGTAGCACCCCGCAATGGCGGATAAGAGTGAGGGGGCTGGTGGGCCAGCGCGGCGCCTGCGACCCACGAGCGACCCACCCGCTTCGCGACCCGCCCGAAACCTATCGGCCCCGCGACCCACCCGTCTTGGAGGAGCCCGAACCTCCGAGCTCCTCCGAGCTCCTCCGTGGACCACAATCAGTTCCGAGTAATTGTTGGGAAGCGCGACAACCGGTCACCACTACGGCGTGCCACGCTGCAAGGCATGCAAAACATGCGGCTTGGATGAAGCTGACTGCTGCTCCATTTTCGGGCGTGCCGGCCCATCCGCTATCGATGCGGTGCTCCGTGTAACTGTTGGGAACGGTGCGAAGGCATGAGTAGGTTAGCACTGTCTCGCAGAGGCCCGAGGGTGTCGCCCACGTGCTTTGCCGTTCCTTTGCTTTTGCGGCTGACTCTCACGGTTGGGGGCCAGACCTTACGCCCGAACCCCTCCGAGGGCTCCAAGAGACATCAAGAGGGCCCCAAGAGGACCACGGACCCTGACGGTGCCCCAAGAAAGCGCGGTACGTGAAGCTCAAGGTATGGTTCCCGAGGTCGGGGGCCAGGCCTTCAAAGAGTGGGAAGAAAGGAGGGGGAGATGCGACGATTCACCCCCTTGGAGGCGGTGTCTACCTTCAGCTGCAGCGTCGCGGTTGCCAGGCCCATTCTGTCTCACCGGCAAGCCCGCTGGTGAATTTTTGACGCTTCGCGCATCCCCACCAGCCCATCCAGGAACGACGCCCAGGCGAGTTGAGGTGATCAGGGAAGTGTGGAGCAAAACAGGGGATCGCCGAACCGTGCGAGGGAGGGAGGAGGAGAATGAGGCTGGATGGATGGATGAGGGAGTGGGTAGAAGGATGATGCATAGGATCAGGAGTAAGATCAGGAGGGGTAGGAGACAGATGAACCGTCTTGGGGTTCTCTGGAGCCGTCTTGGGTCCCTCTGGAGCCGCCTGGAGCCGTCTTGGGGCCCTCTTGGAGCTCTCTTGGGGCCCTCTGGGAGCTCCAAGAGGGCCCACCGAGGGCTCCAAGAGGGCCCTGGGAGGCCCCAAGAGGGCCCCAAGAGGGACCCAGGAGTTATGTACCAGCGGGCCCTCGGTTGGTACATAACTCCTGGGCCCTCTTGGGGCCCTCTTGGAGCTTTCTTGGGGCCCTCAGGGGGAACCAAGAGGGCTCCAGGAGGGCTCCAAGAGGTCCCCAAGAGGGTTCCAAGAGGGCCCAAACCCAACCCGGGCTCCCAAAAAGCTTCCAATGGACATCCGAGGGGGTGGAGGGGGAGGTGAAGGGGGGGTGGAGGGGGGAGGAGGGGGTGGTCGAGGGGGTGGTGGAGGGTGGAGGGGGGGGTGGAGAGAGGGTGGAGGGGTGTGTGGAGAGGGGGGGGGGAAACCCTAGGGCACAGGGTATGGAGACGTGTTTGATGAGGAGGCTGGAAGAGGAAGCGCTCTAGACCACTCACGCCCACAGGGCTGGTGGATTCTTCGGTGAATTCTGACGGCGCAGTGCGGAGTGAATTCTTGGTGAATTCTCAGTGGAAAAAACGCACCGCCCGCGCGCGATACATTGGCGCAAAAGACGGGCGAAAAAATTCATAGAAAATTCACAAAGTTTTCACAAGGAATTCACAGCAGAATCGGGTCGCGGATTTGACTGGCGTTGAGTTGTAAAGCATTGCGTTGTGCTTGTCCGCAGCAAGCCACACAGGGCCTGAACGAGAATCATCTGGGCTTCTGCGTAAGCATCAAAACGACGCAGCCTAGTTCAAATGAAGACGGAGTGCGCGCATGGCGGCCGAGACGCCACACAATGCCGGGAAGGCTCCAGGGGAGGCCCAATATGGCTCCAGGAGGGCCCCAAATTCAACGGCAATTTAGGGTGAACCGCTTCCTTGTTGGAGACTGTGCTCCGTCACATGTCTCTTAAGTTATGGGCCCTCTGGGAGCCATCTTTCGGCCCTCTTGGGGTCCTCCAAGGCCGTTTGGGGGCCCTGGCAGAGCTTTCAGGGCGCCCCAAGAGGGGTTCAAGATGACCCCAGGGGGCTCCAAGAGAGACCCAAGAGGGCTCCAAGAGGGCCCCAGGAGAGCCCCAACTTTGCCCCCAAAGCGGGATTCAAAGACAACATTGGTGTATGTTGCCTGTGGGCCCTCTTGGGGCCCTCTTGGAGCCGTCTTTGAGCTCCATTTGGGCCCTCGTGGGCCCTCTTGGGGCCTCCTCGGGACCCTCTCAAAACCATCTTGGGCCCTCATGGGCCCAACGCATCCACGTCGTGACCGAAGCATTTGCGCCATCTGGAAATCGTAAATATAATAATTATGTTCCCTTCCACATTGCCTTCTCCTTACAAGGTCTCACCTCCTGCCCGTGGCCATTCTGGTTCAGGCCGCAGCTATCCTTCACCGGCGATCGTCTGCCCATCTGTTGCCCGTGCTGGTCAGTTCGAGCGGGCGCGCGCAGTGCCTTCATGTCGGGTGGCCAAGGCAGCGCGCAGGACCGGGCACTCAGGAGGAAGTTAAAGGCTCAGCCGTCTACAGAGGTTGCTACGAAAGCTTGTAAGGATAACCTGAAAAGGGTACTCAGAGAACCAGATCTACCTCGTGAAGGGTACTAGCGGTAAGACGGCCGATGAGGATGTGCTGGAGGGCGTGCGGGAGAAGCGGAAGAATCCCTCGTTCGCCTTGGGTTCCGTTTTCTACCGCAATGTGCGGCAGCGGCATCCGAAGCACGTGTCGCGCCCGGAGCTTCTCACAGCTCCTGATCCGCCTGAGCAGGTGGACCCCGCGCTCCTGCGGGCGATGGTCCCCACGAAGAAAAAGAAGCCCGACCACTCCTTGGTGGTCACGTGGATCGGGTCGAAGACGCCGAGAAACAGGACCGAGGTGATCGGGTTGACGAAATGGATGCAAACAATCAGCCCCAGCTGTCCGAAGCAGGCCGCGCTCGCCCAGGCTTTCGCGCGATTCGTCCACAGAGCTGGCCTGGCGACCTCCTACGCCGATTACTACGAGGCGTTCTTCAAACCCTTCTGCGACACCACGGTGAATTCGGCGTGGAAGCGGGCGACGTCGGCTAAGGTGAAAGCGAAGCCCACGGCTGCCCAGTTCTGCAAGGACAATTTGTCTCTCGTGGTGTCGGCGATGCCAGAGGAGCCGTTGAAGAAGGTGTTGGGTTGCAACGGGGACTACGGCACCGTCTTGTCGGAGCTGAACACTGTGATCGGCAGTGGCGACGCGGGCATGGCGATGTGGCCGTTCGCTTTGCTGACAGTCCTTGGTAAGAAGGTCGACGGAATCATCGAAGAGGAGGCGGTCAAGTGGGGCAAGGCAGGTCCTTTGACGCAGGACCCTGTGCATCCATCGGGGTGGGGTGGGGTGGTTGTTCTGAGCTATATGAGAAAGAATGCCCCCCTTGTTGGAGGGGGTGTTGGCGGGGGTCCATCGCAATCGCCCGTTTCGGGCATGGGTTGCCCGGGGTGCTGGTGCCCCCGCACGGGGGCCGCGCTTGCCCGGCCCCATCTCAGGAGAGCCTCCAGCAGCAGAAGACCGACATCATCGCGAAGGTGGCCGACATCGAGAATAACGAGCTCTTGCCCGCGAGTCGGGCCGTGGAGTTCACGGTCGCGGGCACCAAGTTCACCTTCGACGTGGAGTCGCTGGCTCACCACGTGAGTTTGCAGTTGTCATTCGCGTGGAGGCCGATCGCCACGAACGCGAATCTCTTGGAGAAGCTATTCTGTTACGACGCGGTGCTCCCGAACCCTCGGCCGATTTCGGATGTCAGGGTCAGCGAGTGTCTGTATGGGGGCCCGAATGCCGCGCGGAAGGGAGCCAACAAAGCCTTCCGCGAGTCTGGTGACCTGACCGGGGAGCAGACGCGGAACACGATGAAGAAGATCAAGGCCAGCTTCGTGGTCTCGGACCCTGACTTCGACGCGGACGCGCTGTTGATCATGTCCGTGGGCGGTGACAATGGGTACGTGCGCCTGGTCGTGGCCATGGAGAAGCTCTTCCCCACGGCGGGCGGGCAGAAGAATGTCGAGACCGTCTTGCACGAGATCGCCGCCATGGTGAATGATAACATTTACAAGCTCGCCTCCAAGGCCGCCCAGGTTATGCATGATGCAGTCAAGAAGGTGCTGTGCTCCCTTGTCGATGCGAAGTGTCCTGAGCTCGGATCTCTGGAGGCCGAGCCGAAGGTCAAGGGGCTCGTCGACAAGTTCGATTATTTTGTCCGGTTCACCGAGTCGTCTGGCCAGGGCTCCAAGGGGAGGGTGCTGACCGGCCTCGCCGCAATGAAGGCCAAGCTGCAGCGGGTGACCGAGAAGAAGGCCCAGGGCCCCGTGACGAAGGCCGACGTGGAGGAGCTCGAGACCTACATGTTCCTTGTGCCAGACTCTGACAAAGCGAACTTCTTGGCCATAATCAAAGAGGCGAACGACAGCCAGTCGGCCCATCTCCAGAAGGCAGCGAAAGCGAAAAAGGGGGCCTCATCAAAGAAGGACAAGGCGGTGTCCGAGGCGATGGCGATGTTCACCTGAGGCGTGCTGCGGTGATTTTGCTTTCAGGCCAATCAGTGGATTGGCGGCCGGCTGGGCGCCGGCGGGGATCGCATGAATGACGAGATAACCACAAAATCACTCCTCCTTCATTTCGCCCCCCCCTCTCGCCGCTCTGATTGCCGCCGCCTGGCTCGACGGCGTGGCCGGTGCGTGGACTGCGTGCCTCCTCTTCCTCCTCCCTCTAGTCTTCACCTTTCACCGCTTCGTGTTATCACTAATCCTTCTCCTCATGCTCCTTCTCCCCCTCCACCCCCCTCTTCACGCGTCGGCTGGTGGCGCAGGGAGCCTTGGCAATTTCTGACACGTCGCATGTCCCCACCAGCCCATCCAAAAAAAACAGTTCCGAGGCGATTTGCCCTGATCGTTGGGAGGGGCGATGAGTGTGGAGGGTCGAGCCTGGAGGGTCGACCCCCCCCGTCCTCTTCCGAACTCCGAGCTCCCTTCCCGGGGGCCCAGAGCGGCCCCTCACCTCTTTTGAAAATCATTTTCCGGACAGGTGATTTTTCAAAGTAGGTGAGGGCCTCTGCGTTTGGAGGTTGGGGGGGGGTCCAACGGTTGTGGACAGTTGGGGATGCTTTCGGAGGTTTTGGAAAGCATCTCGCAGTTTCCATAACCGTTGAAAGCACCCCAAAACATCCAAATGCAGAGGCCTTCATATCATGAAAAAGTTATGTTTTCGGAAGGTGGTTTTCAAAGAAGGTGAGGGGCCGCTCTGGGCCCCAGGTGGGGGAGCTCGGAGGAGCTCGGAGGAGTTCGGTGGAGCTCGGGGAGGCTCGGGGGGCTCGGCCCTCCGAGCTCCTCCGAGCTCTTCCGAGCTCCCTCCCCAGGGGCTCAGAGCGGCCCCTCACCTTCTTTGGACATCACAATACGAGAACGCGATTTTTCAAAGTTGGTAAGGGCCTCTGCGATTGGAAGTTTTCGGAAGGTTTCAAAAAGGTTCTGGAGAGTTGGGGATGTTTTCGACCGATCTTGGGGCCTTCTTGGGGGCCTCTTGAGGCCCGCTTTGGGGCCTCATGGAGCCGTCTCGGGGCCGTTATAGGCCCCGCCGAGGGCCCTGGGAAGGATCCAAGAGGGCCCCAAGAAAGCTCCAAGAGGCTCCCAAGAGGGCACCAAGACGCCCCCAATAGGTCCCCAATATCGGTCACGTAAGAGAGGCTTCGCGTGACCGCTCTTGGGGCCCTCTTGGGGCCGTCTTGCGACGCTCTTGGAGCTGTCTTGGGGCCCTCCTGGGCCGTTCCTAGGGCCATCAGACGGATCCAAGAGGGCCCCAAGACGGCTCCAAGAGGGCCCCAAGAGCGGTCACGCGAAGCCTCCCTCGCGTGACCGATATCGGGGCCCTTTTGGGGCCATCTTGGAGCCGTCGTCGGGCCCTCTTGGAGCTGTCTCGGGGCCATGTTGGGCCCTTCCCAGGGCCCTTAGACGGCTCCAGGAGGGACGCGGGACGGCTCCAAGAGGGCCCCAAGAGCGGGCATTGAGGGGACCAATCGATTCACCCGTGCCGCGACCCACCCGCAACCCACCCGCGACCCACCCGCGACCCATCGGCGCCGCAAACCACCCGCGACTTACCCGCGCCGCGACCCACCCGCGCCGCGACCCACCCGCGCCGCGACCCACCCACCGGGACGACGGCAACAATAACAAACATAATATCCTCCGCGGGTCCCCACTTCAGCCACGCACCCAGGAGCATTGTAAGACCGTTTGGCCCCTCACTCTGATGAAGGTACAGGCGACCTTAAAACATGTGCTAAAGACTTCGCACGGTTTCCCATACCATATGTAGCGTATTTGTTGCGTGTATATGCGTGTTTCAAATATCCAGCGCATGGGTCGCCAGCCGCCCAGGCAGCGAGGACGTCAGGCCCTCTTGGGCCGTTGCACATGTCTGGGGCCATCTGAGGGCCCTCTTGTGTAAATCTTGGGCTTTCGTGGGGCTCTCTTGGGGCCGCCTGGGGGCCCTCTTGGGCCTTTCTTGGGCCCCTCTCGGGGCCTGCCTTGAACCTCAGGGGAGCCTCGGATGGGTTCAAAAGGGGTCGAAAAGGGTTTTCCGACACTGGCATCCAAGAGGGCCTTCTGGATGCCAGTGTCGGGTAGCCCTTTTGGACCCTTCGCGAGCCCCTGTTGGGGCCGTCTTGGGGCCCTCTGCGGCCATTGTTGGGCCCCTCTGTTTTTTTTCAAGCGCCTCAGGATAGCTTCGGATGGGCTCAAGAGGGGTCCAACAGCCACCCCCCGACAGTGGCATCCAAGAGGGCTCTCTGGATCCCACTGTCGGGGGGCCCTCTGAGGGCCCTCTTGGGTACTCTTGCGGCCCTTTTGGGGCCTTCTCGGGGACCAGGCACGCACGCGCAACGTGTATGTATTCAGGAGTTGGGTAAGAGAATCCTGTCAACGACCCACGCCCAGAGGGCTGGTAGGATTGCAATGTCATTGCAGGGCAGGGTATTGCAGGGCCTTTGCAGGGTCTTGCATGGTCTTTGCATGGTCTTTGCAGGGTATTGCAGATATCGTAGGGGTCTTGTTTGCAGGGTATTGCAGGGGTCTGTGCAGGGTCTTTGCAGGGGAGCTCTGCAGGGTATTGCAGGTTCTTGGCAAAGGAGTCGAAGGGAGAGGTTGGGGAGAGGGGGTATTTCAGAAAAGGGAAGAGAAATACCCCTGGACCACTACACGCTCTAAAGTGCTGGTGGGATTAGACGCCCAGGATTGAAATAAAGCAGCGCAGAAGAGCCATCCAGACACAAATTCGGAGGCACGCCCAATAAATCGGGCGTCCCGCGCGGACCTGGATCTATCGCCTCAGCTCCCGGCATGCGGAGTTTCCAGAGCAAACCTCTGAATGCCCGCGCGTCCGATGGCGGCCGTGTGCGCGACACTGCGAGATGGCGAGGGTGCGGGACCGAGTGAGCGCGGGGGGGGCGTGGACGTGAGAGGAGGAGGAGGGGGAGGAGGAGGAGGAGGGGGAAATGGGCGGACAGACGGAAAGGAGGATCAGGAGGAGGGGGAGGAGGAGGACGGGCAGGTGGCTGGAGAGGAGAGTACTGTGTTCTGTGGCACAGACACCGCGCTGCGATTGTTATTGAGGTTCGGGGCCAGTGCGCCCTTAAGCATACATTTTGTTGTTTTAGAATTATCCCGTCCCGTTGGCGCCACAGTTATACACTATGTCCGTTGTCGTTTCTGTCCCCCTCCATGTCCTCCTCGTCCCCGCCCTGTTTCCTCCGCCTCTGCCCCGTGCCTAGGAGGCAATCCTGCGACGGTTCGCCTTCCGACCGCCGCCTCACGGTCGGTTTGGTTGCCTGTCCAGCTGGCGCGACCGAAGCCTCATCTTCGAAATTGTTGTCATCGTGTTCTTATTTTCCGTCGTCGTCTGCTCCTCCTCTATCTCGTCGCCGTCGCGTTCGAGCTCGTCCTCGTGCTCTCCCCTGGTACCCCCCTCGATGATGCACGACGGCTTGGTAACCTTCGGAGTTTCAGGCAGGCCGACAGGTTCCGATCAGATCGAGAGGCGCCCTGCCCCAGCATGTGGGGAGGCGACGCATTCCGCCCACGCGTCCGCGCTTCCAGAGAGCGGTGGGCGGGTAAGAGGAAACGAGTGCGGAGGAGGACCAAATGTGTGTTTAGTGTTGGAAGCGGACCCCATGGAGGAAGATGCGGAGGAGGAACGTGGCGGCGATGGCGACGGGGGTGACGACGATGACGATAGTTATGATGATGACCACAGCGTGGGTGATTACGATGGTTGTGATGATGATGGTGCTGTTTTTTGTTCATAATTGCACAAACGCTCATCTTGGACATTCGGTCCGAATCGCGCTTGCGCGTGCTCAAAAGTTGCCACGGCTTGCAGCCCGTGATCACTTTTATGGACGGTGCTTTCGGCTGGAGGCTGGCCAGCCCCGTGCGACCTCCCATGCGGATCACCCCGGTTCACGCCGCGGCATTCGAATTCAGAAAATGTGGCCGTGGTTTTGTTGATCGTTTTTTCGCCGAAGGGCCCAACGAAAATTCACTCAGCACGACTTAGACACCGCGAGAGATGAAAGGCGCCCTGCTGATTTCCCAAACCACCGAGGAGGAGGAGGAGGAGGAGGAGGAGGAGGAGGAGGAGGAGGAGGAGGCGGAGGCGGAGGCGGAGGAGGAGGAGGAGGAGGCAGACACGGACACGGAGTTGAGGGCATCTTGGCCCTGAATACATAGTTCGAAGTCCCAGGGGGCGGGAATCGAGGAGGAGAGCGAGGTGGGAAGAGGAGGGGGATGACGACGATGGCGACGAGCAGGGGGGGAGGAGGAGGAAGAGTTGGAGAAGGAGGAGGAGGAGGAGGAGGAGGAGGAGAAGAAGGAGTTGGAGGAGGAGGAGGAGGAGGAGAATGTTGAGCCCCGTGGAGCTTGAAAACAGCGCCCGCCCCATCTATTTTCAGTTGTCTGATTCGCGAGTTCTTGCTATCGTGTTTGTCCTGACCAAGCCTCCTCCTCCTCCTCCTTCTCCTCCTCCTCCTCCTCCTCCTCCTCTCCTCCTCCTCCCTCCTTCCCCTCATCCCTCCCATCCTGTTCTTTCATGGGAATGGAACCTCTGCCAGGGAGCAGAACAGTATCTCCTCGGACGGGCACCCCCCAGTTGTCCTCTTCCTCTACCCTTATCGCCTTCCTGGACCCTCCATCTTGCATCCCCTTCTTGGATAGGCAGTAGTCCATCACAGGCTCTTCCTTTTTCTAAAGGCGCTGCAACCTGAAATCCGACGTCGCGACACAAAAACAACATCGTAGATTATCGCGACCGGGTCCCCAGACCCAATTTTTGATGCAGCATTTCCCGAGATCGACCGATCCGCGAGGATTTTGGAACCCCAAAATTGGCTGAACATCTGTGTGAAATGAGTTGCGACTCTCGGATTGCAATGCACCCTGGAGCAGCGTGCGGGCGTGGTGGAGGACGGTGGCAGGGACCGCAGTGGGCCAGAGGGTGCGAGAAAACCACGACGGAGCGGGCTGGTCCCGTCATGTCAGGCGGCTCTTCTCTTTTCTGGCCGTGGTCGGCGCGCGCACAGGCCGACGGGTGCGAATGGCGTTGGAGGGGAGACAAGT